TATAGAGGATTGGGCAAAGAATATATTAGTGGAAGACCAGGCTAGATTCAGATCTGGATATTCCACAATAGACAATTGCTTTGTTCTGCACCATCTGCAGCATTTGCTTAACAGCCACTATAAAAAAACTTGACAATTCGGCATGGTCATATGGTGACCTGCTTAACAACCACCATGACATAATCCCAGGATTAATTACAGTTGTAAATCAAAGATTACCTGTCTTCTTTTATCTTTATCCTATTTTACCTACCATATATTAGTCTATTTTATTTCACCCCGGGCTATTTCACCATATCATACCTTATCTCATTTTGTTATATTTTAATGTGGCTGATGCTCATGCTTTGATATGGTAAACTAATCAGTAAAGTCTACTATTAGTAGTATTTGTCTGAAATGGTATAGGGTCTCCTGCTTGATCAGGGGGTTAGACCAGAAGGTCTCCAAGGTCCATTCCAACTCTGTTATTCTGTTACTCTTCCAATCCTGAAATTCACTGAGTCATCATAGACTAAAAGACAAACTGTACTAAAAAACCTCAACACTGAAAGGGGACTGGGGAGGGTGGCGAGGATTATTTGTATGGTAAAAGAATCATGTCCGTTGCCTTACATTTTTTTCAAATTATGTGTATGTGTACGCACAGTATGTCCTTATGTCCATGTGTAATCTTATTCTAGTTTTCCAAGTGCGTAAGTTAATGCAACACAAGTAAAAATAGTATATTTTCATTAGAGGAGACATGGAAGTTATGATGTTCAGAAAACAATAGAGCGTTATATATTTTCCCCATATTTCAGGAGCATCCTTCTTTAGGTATGCAGAAAATATTAAAATTAAGATAAATTGTATGTTTACAACATGGAGAAAGAGGAAGGCCGTTCAAGTAATATCACAATAGTTAGTACTGTACTTCACATGCTAGAAATACCTTGAAAGGGAATTAATTAGCATCCGATAATGGAGGAAAGATGAAACAGTTGCCCCTTCCCAAGGACTATTTAAAGAAAAGCAATGAAGAATTTTTGAATTGAGGTCCACTCGAATAACTCTGTCCCTCTGCCGAAAGTAAGCAGAGGTTTTGGCTCTAAACTGGGGTGGCACATCCCCTATGGTCTTTCCTACTAAGGGGTTTACATTATTAAGTATATTCACCATGAAAAGAACAATCATTTGTGCATCAAGCTGCTTTAATTTTCTAATTTCTAGTACTGTGCAGTAATATGAGAAAAATCCTTTTCGGAAATGTAAAGCAAGTAGACAAATTAATGCAGAGATGTTGCAGTTTACTTTCTGTAAACTCCATCGTGCACCATAAACACTTTAGGGATTGGAAGACATCTTGGAAATAGTAGGGGAGGAGGGGAATCTAGTTTAGTGGCCAAGAAAGCTTCAAATAACAAACCCATGTTTAATTATATCACTTGAGACTACATATAAGACTATGCATAATTTAACACACCAATATAACTCATAGAATCAATGCTTCTGGCACAGAATTCTAGGTATCAAGAAGGAGGCCTCTAGGCTTGTTGCCACCTGATATACCAGACTTCTATATATACAGACTTACTTTGTAGGGGAGAGGGAGAGAAAACATTTATATATGATTGTCATTTAAGTGATAAGCTGTGAAAATCAAGCCAGAAGTCTAAGAAAAATCTCTCATATATATATATATATATATATATATATATATATATAATATATATATATATATTATATATATATATATATATATATATATATATATATATAAAACAAATCCTGATGATTTGTGTTGTAAAATTCTTTTGTTCTGAAATAAATAAAAAGTAAATTAGCAGAAGGTGGCAATTCTTGAGATAATCTTTTATAATATAGATCAGTGGTTCTCAACCTTTTTAATGCCGCGACCCCCCAACCGGTCGTAAGTCGAGGACTACTCAACCGGTCGTAAGTCGAGGACTACTCAACTGGTGCAGCACCGTTTGCAGAATGGGACTTTTGGCGGGCTCAGCAGGGCAGAGACAGCCTGGACAATTCCTATTGGCTTTTGAAAGCCAATAGAATTAGACTCTATTCAAGAGAGTCTATTCTATTGGCTTTCAAAAGCCAATAGAATAAAAGGGAGTAGCACAGCTAAGGAAAAGGGGGGGAAAATGGCAGACTGTGTTGTTTGGCGACCTCCATGAAATGGTCGTTCGACCCCAAATGGGGTCCCGACCCACAGGTTGAGAACCACTGATATAGATGAAGAATAGCAATAAAACTTGGAATAATTAATTGGTTTATCAGTGAAGACAAGATAACCTTGGGTAAGAAGTAAAAAAAACTCAAAAAACTTGAATGGAGTGAAATTGTTTTTAAAATATTAAATGTGGTTTCACTGTGGACCACAAACAACTTGGTTTTATGTCAACCAGAAAGTTTTCTTGAGATAGTTAGTCTCTCTATGATTTCCTTTTTTTAAAAGATGCAGTATTTTAAGTTTATTTTTTCTTTATTGTGGTGCCCAAAAGTTAACACTTTGTGTATCACCTACTTTGTTAAACTGAATCATTCCCTACATTTATTATTTTAGTAATTTCCAGTATAGTCTTTTAAAAGGTATCTTTAATCTTTGCTTTTCGTATGTTGTATTAGAAAATGTAAGAGATATTCAGTGTTGGACCCCAATGATTACAGGTAGTCCTCAGGTTAAGAAAGTCCAACTTATGGAACTTATGGACAACCCACACTTACAAACAGGCAGTCTCTTAATAGAAATAGTAGATTGCATTCTCCTTCCTTCAGCCAACAAATCACGAAGCTACACAATGTTTTCATGAACTCCTGACATCACCACAGCAATTGTGTTTAGAACAATTCCCTTAAATGTGTATTTCTTCAATAAATGCAACCTCACTCTTATAATAAAATGAGTAGACTAAGCATGAGCATCCATTACAAATGCTCATGTATATAGCAAAAGAGTTCTCCTTGACAAAACATAGGTCAAACGTTATGCAGATGGAATTAAATGAGCAAATCCAAGACCTGCATGGACAATATGGTTTTAAGCAACAGAAAGACACAATCAGCTTTAATTTTAGTAATCTAAGAAATAAAATCCAACTGTTGCCCTCATAATAATAATTTAAAAAGTCAAATTAGCAATCATTAGCTAACATATCAGATCAGTAGAACTGTCATTATGGGACATGGCAGCTCACCTTATTGGTCCAGTGATGTACTATAGATTGTTAAAAGTTCTTAAGAATAACTGTTTAACCTATTAATTGAACCTTTTAATTAATCTATTAAATCCTTTAATTAATTTTTAACCTATTTCTGTTCTCTGGCATTTTAGACCTATTTATATTCTGCTACAGCTTCACTTTTTAAACAGTCTAACACCTAAACACTTCCCTCATTTAAATACTGTGCATTTCAGAACATTGCTGAACAATTAATAGTGTCCTATTAATTAGTTATTAGTTATTGATTACTGAACAGTTAATACTGTCCTGGATTAAGTGCTGCTTTGGATCTCATTTAGCAATTATTAACATAAGCAAAAGCCAAGGGCCTCCAAATATCAGCAACATACAGTAGCAACTGGTCCTGTAGCAACTGATAATCAAATCTAAAAAAGCTGAACTCTTGCTCACTCCTTTCCATTTCTGCTGCTCTGACTGCTGTCAAAATTCTGGGCCCGTAGCTGCTACTCTGCTGGGCGAAGAATAAAAAATGGTGGTGGTAGGCAGGGTAGGTGAGCAAAATGGGCTGTGGCAGGCTTGAGAGACTAAGGAGTGTGGGGGCCACTTTGTACAGAGGCAATCACTGTGACAACCAAAAATGATGGACCAGATAATAGAATGGAGAATTGGTTTGTCAAGGCAGACCAAAAATATGGAGTAACTAAAATGCCCAGGGGTTGAACCACACAGTTTCAAAACTCATGATTTGAGCATTAATCCAGCTGATGGTTGTTCTAATCTAAATAAAACTAAGATAACTAATCAGCTATTTTAGAGGAAGAAGTACGAAGTCTAACACTGGCTAAGTGTCAATTACTTAGTTCTGCTTCATTTAACAGGATATATATACACTATATATGCATACCATAATTAAACCAATCATAACTAAATGTATATGAGCATAATGTAAGAGCTATAAATACTGAATTATGGAAAAGTGTGTTTAGGCTATGAATTGTATCCAAAATATTCTTTTAAATCTTCACTGCACTGAATTACTAATCAAATTCTTTGAACAATTTAAATCTTAAACAGTCTGCTGGCAGCATACGAGCCACAATCTGTCCCAAATTGTATCTCTCATGTCCTCCCCCAAAATTACCTGGGGACATTTCAGTCACAGAAGCTGAAGTACCTGATTACCCACTTCAGACAGTTATTAAGAATTGATGGATACTAAGAATCACTAACAACAAAATAACCATGCTGTGTGAACTCAGGTAAACTATGAGACTAGAATCTATTACATCAGATTATAATAATACACAAATTAAGGAAAATCTAATTAGAATTCTGAATGTATAACGTCTTCCTTTTCTTACTTCATACCGATTAATATACTTTAATTCCCCATTATGTAAAGCTGCAGTTAGACAATTAAGTGAGACTATAAAAATTTGGAATGAATATCCAACAAAATTAATGAAATTGATCTGAAATTGGCTATAACAAGCTAGAGTACAGAAACCCTATTTTTCACAGCCAGAATACTCACACAGAGAAAACTGTTCATTTTCAGTTAACAAAACGCAAACTCACAATTTATATTTATTAATGAACATTCTAAAGCACAATGCCGGGCTGTTATTTAAAATGCAGTCAGTCAACTGCATGTACCTCTTTCCAATTATCAATATTGTACACATCATTCAATCTTATGTGATGAGACCCTAATTACAATCCACAAACCCAGGTGGTTATCAAACGTTTAAACTGATAAGATATGCTGACCAGCTGCCAAAAAATTTCAACAGATTTATATTTACAGAGACTTACTTTTCGCCCATCACTTGCATGGCAATTCACATTTAAAGGTGTCAATAAAGCCATTAGTTTTTCTTCATTGCCACTCCTGCAAAGAAGAAATGGAAGGGAGAGGAAGTCCCTTACAGAATATATGAAATGGAGTTTCACATTAACATCATGTTCACAATCCACCTTGTGTGCATTTTAACTTAGAAAAAAATTGCTTCAGTTATTTCCTTTAAATATATGCCTATATAAACATATATGATAGAATAATTTACCGTATTTTAAATATAATAAATATACATTTCCCAAATTGTTGCAATCTTCCTCAAGCCACTATAAATAGCTTCCAGCCTCTCGCTCAAGCTTTTCTATAACATATATGTAAATGAAGAATCCATAAGGTAGAGGATTAAAAAAAATATCCTAACGTAAAATTTCTCATTAAAAATGCTTTTTAAACATAATAGAATTTGAAATGCATTCTGTCTAAATTTGACTGTAAGTATATTGTAGAATTACAAGCAACTATTTAGCTTTCTGCAAGTAGTTAAATCCAAAAGACTCACGTTAACTGCTTAGCTGCCCAATTTTATAAAAAGATAACGACAACATGACAGATCATAAAAACCCATTTTCACCCTGATTTCTCCCACCTCTCTTCAAAAACAATACATTTGTATTCTGAACAGCACTTACCTAGCAGCTTCCAAGAGTTCGTCCTTCTTGTATTCACCTAAATGATTGCAAAATATCATGCTGTTAGCATTTGGCAGAAGACAGATGAAGAAATGCAGCAGGAAGCAAATACAGAATTAAACAGAGAACGGGGGGGGGGGGGGAACAAGCAAGCCCACACCCCGCTGGGTGATGGAGCTGTGACGTTAGTCAGCTTGTGAAGGCAGCATCACCAGTGCCTTGGAGACGGGCAGCAAATTGACGCAGCTTCTTATCCAATCCTCAGATGAAATGGCTTTCTTCAGACAACCAATGAATGCTGAACCTCTGTCCAGAAACAATCCCTCTGATAACAGCATGGCAGCTGAGTACAGTGTCTCCTCCCCCATTTTTCCTATTCAATCTCCTAGCACACTAGTATAGCATAAAGGCACCGACACACCCCAAGACTTTTTTTAAAAGGTACATAATAATAAGGTCTGAACCATTTGTAGCCTCAAAATTATCTTGCAATAGATTTATTTCAGAGGTTATTAAAACTGTGTCCAAAGTAAATGTTTGTTACCTTAAGAGAATTAGTGAACCATAATAAAACACGTGGGAAAGACAAAAGTATTCTGACAATAGCATTTCAAAATCATCCATTCAAATGGTTGTCTGTTTTCATATCTTTTGGAAAGAATGAAAAATTCATACCTTGAAATTTAGCTCTATCTCACTATGTTATCCACTAAATATCTTAAGTATACTGCCTTTGAAAGTTTTAATATTTTAGTCTTTGAAATCTTTATAAAAATTGTAGTAGATACTTTTGCATTCTATCTAATGGTAAGACATTTCAGAGTAAAAGTTTATGAATTCAAAGAAACAGAATAGTGTTAATAATGGCAACCTGTCTCCAAGAAAGAAATATTAAATGCAGGTGGATTACTCCATTTCTTTTGTGAGTCTTTATGAATGGCAAAGCTTTTATATTCTCCACAGAAGATGCTAAGAAAATGCTTGAGTCGTGAACTACTACAGAACAAGAACAAAAGGATACAGACAGACAGAAGACCAAAACTGGATTAGAAATTTTTTCTACCCATACATTTAATTAATCGCTGACTTCATGGATCAAATTAATAAATTTTTCAACAAAGATTAAGAGATTGAATAGCCCATTCAAAAGAGGAGAAGAAAAAATGAGAATGCATAAATAGGTATTTATGAAATACAATTTTTAAAAGATCATATTAATGTGTTAGAATGTAAATATTAGGTCAAAATCATGTGGTTTCTGGCTGGAACAACAGAGTATTAATATATATTAGGAACTTATCATAGAGCATAAAATTCCAGATGAAACAGAAATATTTTTATTACTAAGGTTTCAAACTGAACAATGGAAATTACAATTGCTTCAATTTATGCTTTAAAAGATAACTAGAGAATATCTTGTGATTTTTTTTTTCAATTACATCTTGAAATTGCAAGCTATTTTTTGAGTCTTGGAAACATTAACAGGATTCTTCACGAAAATGTCTTTCATACCAAAAGAGTTCTGCAAATTGCCAAAAATATCATAGATTCTATGTCATTACTTTCTTCCTTAAATGTTTAAAGACATAAGTACCCTTTAGAGAAAAATATACATATTGTTCCCCTTCTCTTAACATTAATTCAAGGATAGATATGCACTGGATATTTAATTCGCTATTACTTAAATGTAAAGAAGTTGCAACACTTAATTCCAAATGTAATATTGCACCAAAGAATCACTGACTTGAAAAAGTAGAATTGAATGGCCTATTATTATTATTACAAAAAGCTATAAATTGAAGTGTCAACCTTAATTTAAGAGCATCTTCCAAACAAACTATTCACAGTATGGAAATCTGAAGCATTTCTGAGAGGATTATTTATTTCTTTGGCATTCAATAGAAAGGAAAACTTCAGTGAGCATTCTAGTCAGTTAAAGAATGTTGCCATCTTTTATTCTTTATTTTACTGGCCTCTGTGTTTTTTGTTTGTTTTGCTTTATGATGTACTTCTCTTATATTTGTTTTATGGAAATGGATTGATGGATAGACAAATGATTCAAAGCTATCAAAATCAATACAAAACAGAAACCAATACTTGATATTATACAAAAGCTTAAAATGATTTATAAACCGCTGGAAGCAAATAAGTTACAAAAAAGTGAATTTCAATAAAGATTTCAAAGAAACTGTTGTTTTACGAAATGAGAAAAAGATCTATCACTTCGCTATAGGATAGTAGCAATCTATTTGAACTATTGATGAGATGATACAGCATTCTATTAAATTTAATTCTCAAATATATGAAAAACCAACATAAAGTTTGAAAGAGATTACACAGTATTCAGATGCTGATTATGAAATGTACACATCATCAAAAAAAAAATCACTTAACAAGGCTACAGTATTACAGAAAATGAAACAAAGGAAGCAATGCTCTCCAGGACCAGAAGCATCTCTACTGCATTTCTGTGCAATGAAAAAATTTAAAATGAAGTTTGATGAAACCATTAACTAGGGTTCTTCTTCTTCCATATCTAGATCAAACTTTAAACTGTCAGAATGAAGCCACCTGCTTGGCTCTGTCATTGGCCAAAAATAAGCCATTATCGGTATATGTTTTTGGTAGTAGATGACATATCAGCAGATGGGGCTGGGCTCTGTGTATCCCCATCTTCACGTAGCATATTGTTATCCACTAAGAGCTTCCACTTGAGCATATCAGTTTTACACTTAGGCACTCCAACTCAAACTATTCAGGGTCCTCCAAGTAGTACAAGGGAGGTCAGATCCGTTAGCCATATCCTCCTTTAATATTATTCCTTGCTCGATAGTCTCCTTCCTCCATCTTTTAATGTGTACTCTCAAGAATGTTTGTTCTTGCTATAAAGCTGTTCCTAGATGGAGGGCTTGGGGGATATGTCCATTCAAAGGATGTCAAGGATCATTCTCTTGCTTAGTTCTCTTGGCATTTGCTGCTACTTCTCGCCTGATCTTAGGTGGGCCAATGCCAGCAAGAGGATATATTTTCTCAATTGGAGTAGGTTTGAGACAACCTGTCACTAAGTATATTGCTTCATTGAGGGCGATATCAACTTGTTTCATGTGTGCAGATGCGCCCCACACTGAAGCACCATACTCTGCTGCAGAGACATTCAAGGCCAAAGCTGATGTGTGAAACATAGATAGTTGAACTCCCCGTGTGTAGTTTATCAATTTCCTGATGATATTGTTCCTTCAGCTGACTTTAGCCTTAGTGTTACTTAAGGTTGATCATTTGTATATATGTTATACAATATTGGAGACAATACACTTCCTTGTGGCAGCCTGTTCTTCTGCATCCTCCATCTACTGAGGTTGGACTAGGTATCTTCCAAGATCCCTTCCAACTCTGTTACTGTTAACTATTACTATTACTGTTGTCATTCAGGGTCACATAAAATTTCCAGTTTTGGAGGAAGCTGCCAAAGACCCTGGTAAGCTTATTATCTCCAGTGATATTATTTTACTTGTGTAGCAATATTCCATATTGTCATATGCTGCAGGTAAGTTGATGAAAACCACTCCAGGCTTTCATCAACTAGAGTAATGAACAAGGTATAACAACTTCAAGCACTCTTTCCTTCTTTGCCGGAGGCCACAATTCCATAGTCCAAATGCTCTTAATATATGACTTAACATATTCTTCTAAATAATAAATGCAAATGAAATGGACACAACCTTTTGAGCAATAACTGCAGTCAAGCACTTCTTATATTCTTGGGTTCAATTTAGAAGTATGTTTTGGAGCATTATTCTGCTGGGAGAACTATGACATGTGATTAAGATACATCTCACACTGGGCATTATGTTTTATTCCATAAAGCCTTGATAACCTTCTGATTTCACGGTGCTCTGCTGCATAGAGTAAGGGCTCCTAATCATGAAAGCAGCAATGCAACCCCATAATATTATGAAGCTTCCTCTATGTTTCACAATAGAGATGGTATTTTTTTTTTGTTTAAAAGCTTTTGTAAACATAGCGCTATGACTTACCAAAAAGCTTTAATTTAGTTCCATCTGTCCAAAGGACATTCTCCCAGAAGGACTGTAGCTTGTCAACATTCAAATTAGCAAACTCCAGTCTGGATTTTTTGTATCCGTTTTTCAAAAATGGGTTCTCTTTAGGTCCTTCACCTAGGTAGTGCAACTTGATGTTGTTCTTGACAGTTGTTTACTTAGTTCTTCTTAGTTCTTTCTCCACTATTTCAACTAACGTTCTGTTTTTTGGGAGGATAATTTTCCCCTTGCAGCCATGTCCAGAGAAGTTTGCTACATTCCCATGGATCTTAAATTTCTTCATAATATTAATAATCATAGTCACAGGAATGTAAACCTTTTTGGAGATGGTTTTGGAGCCTTTACCATGTTTGGTTATTACTTTCTTCATTTCCTCCACAGACAACTGTTTTCTTATTCTTATCCATGTTCACTGTGCTACACACAATGACACAAATTGCCTCAGTACTTTTCTCCATTCACTTTGACTGAGTGACTGATTATGAGATTGAAGGCATTTGTGATACCAATTAAAATAATCTGATTGAGAGATCACTAATATCCAATAAAGTCTTTTAACATTTAAGGTGCCAATTTTTATATCCATGCCATTTTCATTTGTTTTACTATTTGCAATAATATGTTAAGTTATACATCAAAGATGAAGAATGGTGGATGACATAATTTTCAACTTATTCCATGGCAAATTGGGATTCTGTAGGAAAAAGTGGAGGAGTACTTTTGGCCTCAAATATGTTTCTACTTTATAAGGAGTGAAACAATCCAAACCATCTAGAGCCACGTAGATTTATTTCCTTACTGAAAATGGATTAAACTTTTCATGATTATCCTCGCAGAAAAATTAGAGCGTCTTTTTACTAGAAACCTAATTTATCCTGCTCAGAGTGAATTTATTACAAAGATATATGGAAGAATTGTAGATATATTTTGACTACTGATAAAATCAACCAGAAAAGTATTCACAAATTTTCACAATATG